TGAATTGCAAGTTGATAATTTCCCTACACTTGGCCACTGCTTTGCCCATACATTACAATTAGTGGTAACAGATGGTTTGAAAGAGACTAGTCATAGTTTAAAAACAGTAATTTCAAAAGCTGCAAATATAGTTAAATTTGTAGGAAAATCTGTTAATGCCTCCGATTTCCTTGAAAATGAGGAAAGACTACAAACTGACAATGCAACTCGTTTGAACTCACTAATTATTATGATAAGGTCTTTTTTATTAGTACCTGAGGAAAAACTAGCAAAAACTGGGTCATCAGTTCAGTTGTCTCTTTATGAGAGAAAACTTTTGAAGGAACTTTGTTTTATTTTGAAACCTTTTGTAGACGCTACAATTATGGTTCAGAAAGATAAGCCAGTGTCTGCAAGCTTTGTTGTTCTTATATATATGGATTTACCTCACAGATAAATGAATTATCTGTTACAAACAACTACACAATGGTTCAATCTTTGACATTGTCGTTAGATGACAATTTCTTTTTGGCAGCAATGTTGGACCCGACAATCAAGCTAAGATTGTGCAACAGTTAATATACAATGGAGTAGAGAACAAATTGCTTCCTAATGCTTAAAAATACCACATATCATCAACACATGTAGATACAGAATCATGTGACACTGATTATTCCCAACAACAAAAGAAGTCTAGAACTGACTCTCAAGCTTGTGGAATTCTTAAGTTTCATGACCCAAAAAAAGAATTCGTCATTTGTCTTGTGATCCTGAAAAACATGAGGGACAATCAGTACGTGATGGAGCCATATATTGAAAATAACCCTTTAGGGTTTTGGGAATGACATGAAAATAACTATTTAATACTAGCATCAATGGCTAAGAGTTAGGGATTCCTTGCAATACCGGCCTCTTCTGCACCAGTTGAAAGACGTTTTAGTATTGCTGGCAAAATATTTCTTCCTGACATATGTCGCCTCAGTGATAATACATTTCACAATCCGAGTTTTAACTTGAAAGCTTTAAATGATGCTAATGTAAAGTTCGTTATTTGAACAGAAATGTTGTAGTAACTTTTTCATAGTTATTTCTTTTTATTTTGTAGAATGTAATAGACTGTAATCGAAAAGTAATGTAATTTGTAATCGATTACAAAAAAAAAAATCCTAAATTAATCGATTACATATGACAGTAATCGTGCCCATCCCTGTCATAGAAGGCTATTAATTTGGGTACCGTCTTTTCCCATAATGAGGTATTCTTGTCCTTTCTTTGGATGAACTTGTCATACGGATTTAGGATTCTGACAACAAAATCAATCCATGGAAAGTCATATATATTAAGCCAACGCCGGACACTGGTAGTAATAATTGTGATTAGTTTTAAGTTTTAGTTTACTTTTTTTTCCAGAAGATACATTTTCCAAACAAATATTTTCAAGGAAGTTGCTACCTGAGTGAGGGTTACATTTTTGTAATGTACGATATTCTTTATTTCTATAAGTTTAATTTCATTATTTTCTTTAATATTACCTTTCCATCAGGGATAGCAGCCAAATATTTGATTTTTTTGTCAATAACAAGTCCACAAGATTCAGCTTTGATCACAATATTTTCTTTTCCTGTTATGTTAATGTATTCTTGGATGGTAACTCTTTCCTTACGAATGCCAGTTTTAGTTGATTAGTTTCCTTTAAAATTGCTGTATGACAGCTGTACGACAATAGGAGTTACTTTAAAACTGGTGTTCCGCATTCATCCATTTTTGGACTGCAGACTTGCATTTTGGTGACCTTCTCAATTTTGATTATTTCTGATGTTGTAAACTCTATATTGTTCTTTTGGAATTGTTAGCTCTTCTTCTGACACATCACTTTCAGGTTGCATCGATTCTTTACCATAATGTCGTTTTGATTTAATGATGTTGCATTCCTTAAGAGATGACACTGTTCTTTTCCATCTTCTTTCGATAGTCTTTTTTGATCTTTGCTCTTGTTATTATTAGCAATACACTGCTCTCTCTATTGGTACAACTTGTCAAAATATAAACCGGAAGTTGTTTCAGTAGTTTGAGCACATACATTTGGTGACCAATTGGGACCTAGATAAAATCTAAATGCACCTGCATAACACCGTGTATGCCATGCACCCCTATTGCAATGTTTTCCACCATCAAATTTGGATTTAATGTGCATCCAGCACTCGGCAAAATTGTGGTAAAATTTCCTGATAGTTTAGATAAATTTGTCTCCATAAGGTTCAATCAATCTACCAGTGTGACGCCATTGCACTAACATGCACAAGTTTACTAACACATTCAAGGAAAAAGAAGCGAAATTAATAATTTAGATAACACATGTAAATTTTATGTGCATTATGTATCAAAAATATTACTTTCTCTTCTTTTTCTCTGAAACAATTAGAAAGAAATATTTGTATTAGAATTAATACCGGGATTGTAATAACACGAGGAACTCGACGGGTGCTACATGTAGAGCAGGACCTGCTTACCCTTCCGGAGCACCTGAGATCACCCCCAGTTAATGGTGGGGTTCGTGTTGCTCAGTATTTATTTAGTTTTCTATGTTGTGTTTTATGTACTATTGTTTGTCTATTGGTCTTTTTCTTTTTTAGTCATGGCGTTGTTTATTTTCGACATATGAGTTTGAATGTCCCTCTGGTATCTTTCGCCCCTCTTTTTTATTATTCAACCACACCGAAACTCTTGTCATTTTTCAGACACATCGAACGTTTTTGATTATTCGAGGCTCACGTTTATTCATTTTGGAGAAATTACACGTAAATCAGTCTCACTTCACGATTAACAAAATTCAAGAACCTACAGAAAAAACTGGTTTACTTGCACTTTATGGCATAACAAACCCTCTCTTTTCCTTTCATTGTGCACGTGGTAAAAATAAGAGAATCTACACCTACATACTACTGTTATTGTAAGGTCGTCTAGTAAGGGTTAGAGAAAAAATAATGTGCATGAGTGAAAATAAGTTGAAATTCAGTTTTACTAAACAATTCGAACTTTGAAAAGATGCAACTGATACATTTTTGTAAAACAAAAAAAAACCTGGTTTGCTTATTGCTTTTCTTTCTAACGGATGTGTTTTTGCTCCGTTTGCAATCTGAGTACTTTATTTTTGTTATAAGTTGGTTTTCCATGTTTGGTATAAGAGCAGGATCTTTTGTAACAAGTCTTGAAATTTGACATCTTTCTCCTTATTTTCTGATATTTTGCTTCAGTATACAAAAGACTCTTGTCCGGCAGTTTTTCTTATTCTTTTTATACGCCCGAGTATAGTGTTTGCCAGTAGCCTTCATTTTTTGCATAACTTTTGAGAATTAACATTTGTTCTTGAATGCTTACTTCTACGTGACAGCGTGGTATTTTCTCCATGTATTTTTCGGAATGAAATTCAACTATGTATAAAAAAATCAGTAGTGCGTTAAAAAAAAAACAATTGAAAAGACATGCGGCACTTAGGATGTTTTAGATGACCAGTGTCGCATGCGTGTGCTATATGTAAAAAAAATGCAATTAAATGATATTTAGCTAGTATAGTAACCTAAGTTCCGTATTTCAACAAAAAAATGACAAAAATGTGTCTGTTGATTAAATTTAAAATTGAATAATCATTGCACACTTCGGCTCAAAGCCGTTCAAAAAACTTTTTATTTATACCATTATTCATTGCTATAATTTTCTAAATTTTACTTATACATTTACTCAGTAATTTGTTTTAAAATTACTAAATTATTAGCTGTGATTTATAGAATAGGATTCTCGAAAGCAACATTAAGAGTGGCATTAACTTTGTTGTTAGTACATTTGTTTTTAATTTGAGTTTTGCGTATTAAAATTTCATACAGAAATAGCAAAACTATTGAAGTGTTGCACCCTTTTTCTTAAATTTTGCTAAAAGACTAAATTCCCAAGTCTGGTAAAATGAGTACACGGTCCGCCCGATGAGTGCCAACATATCAAATTTTACACATTGAGCAAAAAACATTAAGGGCAGTTTTGATCCCACGGTGATTTGTTTACGAAAATTTGCAAACAAGCTATTTTTGTACTTAGTCAATTCCAATATGTTATAAAAAATTATACCCACATGTGGTAAATTTAGAGATGAATTGGTTTGAAATTTTAGACCTTCACAAAACAATTTCGGTTTCTTGGAAATTTCTATCCTTTGGACAGACACACATAACTTTTTTGTTTCAAAAGATAAACACATGCCGAATTTTTGTTAAAAAATCTTAATTTGTTTAACAATTCTTTGTAAATAATTCATTTTAATTTAATTTTTCCAGATTTTAGAAAAAAAAACGGGATTTTTGTGCTGCATATTTACCCAATTTAAAAAAAATTCATCGGTGATTTTTTTCATAAAAATTGGAAGAAATAATCTTCATACAGTATCAAGTCAAATGTCATTTTAAAAAAAGGGGGGCCCATGTGCTCGTTTGCAAGCTAATTATTAAAAACACTGGAAAATGCATCTTTTCCCGATTTGTCATTACCTCCCCTGTAAATAGATTGTATATCGTATGCCCTTAATAATTGAATGTTCCTCCAACGTAACCATACATTTTATTATGTTACATTACGTGTCAAATAATGTGCATAACACGAGGAATAAAACTGGAATTATCATACGATGTTCTTTTCGTACGTCAATTAGTGAATAAAACATAATTTATAAAGCATTGCAATGAAAGTGACCATATTGAAAGCATATTTTAGTTCTATCAAACCCAGCTCTAATTCCAGTAGAAGTCTTGTTTTCACAATTCAATTTCATCCCGGGTGCATAGATTTCAAATAAGATAAGTGCCTGATATTTCAAAAGATCAGAACAAACTACTGACCTTTTCAGGCTTTCATGACAAACACAAATTTCTGGTAAAGACTGCTAAAGAAAATATAACAACGATATTTTTTTATTTATCAAAGTGTTTTAAAACATGACGCAAATAATTTTCTGATGCGGAATACATATTACTATTTTATAGAACAGTGAATACATAGGTGACACCTACATTATCATAACAATAATTAGGGACAGGTATTTCTAATGTCTTTCTCCATTTACCATGGACTTCTAATTCTTCCATTACAGTTCTTATAGACTGCTCATATTCAGGCTCACCATAGTTTGCTCTCCTTGTTATAACAACTTTACCATCTGAAAGAGAAAAAAAAACTTCAATAAAGTATTTTTCAAGAAGAATAAACAAAAATGGTCATGTAGATGCAAAGTTCTTACATGTTAATATTTAACTCTATATGAAGATAAATTAACAGAGATAACGGGAACACGACACTAATACAAAGTTCTGATTACTTTTATGCTACTTTGCGTTCGTCAAAAATAGAAGTGTTTGTATCATATGTCAGGCTTTAAATTGCCACATGGAAACTTGTGCAGAAATACGTGTTGATGCAAAAGGGCTACTGGTGAAAGCAAAAACTCTGGCAGGCGACAAGCAACATGTGGCGGCGCTGACAAAGTAGTTTTGACAGGATATTTTGCATATCTACAACATGTACAATGTAAAGATAAAGATGACAACTAATAAAATGGGTCAACAATACTGGATTTGACGTCAGCGCTTCAACCGTAAGACGGGATAACATCAAGTGATGACTACATTTTTAACCCTAGTCAATCTACATAATATGGGCAATTTAAATATGAAAAAAAGGATTATGTAATTAAATTGTGTTTGCTTTACGTCTGTTGGCAAGTATTTCATATTACTTCCTAGTAGTTTTCGTGCGTTATCTCTGTATATTAACCATAAATTCTGTTTGTCCCATTGCTCTATAGATTCTTATATGTCTGTATTTACCTTTCTTCGTAAACCGTATACATTCGTAGAGGGAATCAGGTGGGAGATGTCCGGGTACAAAACATCCACATGTTAAAACACAATCAAAACATCCTGAAATATACTTCTCTTGCAATTGAATTAATTCAGAAATAATTGCCTTTTTAGTGATACGCTCCTATTAACGACACAATTATACATATATGTATCGAGCAATATTTCAACAATGCATTCAGTGAAAATCTTTTCACGGGGGATTATAATTTGAATCATCTTTATGTATTTTCAAAAAACAAGACTAAATTTGTTACCGACCCTTATGTTCATAACTGACACCCCCTTAAATTGCATTATAAATTTAGGGACAGATCTACAATGATCTAGAGAAACTCAAATGATTCTCACATCCTCGTTCTGATTTCAACAGTTAAGTCTATTGCAGAAAAACTCCTTAAAACAAATGAAATAAGCCTTTTGACGGAAATTCACAGCTGTAAACAACTTTCAAACATATCTGAATTAATTTCTTGCATTTGTAATAAAACAGCGCATGCGCGTGACGTCAACTTCTGTCATCAGTAATGTTATAAGGATTCAAACGGTTTGTAATTTCTGGATAGCTGAAAGATTGAACATACAAACCACCAACAGAAACCAAAAGCGAAGTCTTTTTTGAGTTGATGAATGTCCTGAATTATTATTATTTAAATAAAATATGATTCATAAAATGTACCGGACATGAGAAGATTACATTTTTTAAGATTTTCTTTCTTTCCTGCTTTGAGAAACCTAATGATAGAGGGGCATCATAAATAAACTTCTGTTATTTTATTGGTGTACGGGTTAGAACAAGAACACGTTAAATAAAAATACGTAAAAATATTAAAGAATATTTACTTAAATAGATTTGAACAAAAAAAAAATAAAAATAGTAAAAGGGGGTTCATATTCCCAAGCACGTGTGAAATGTCAATTTTCTCTCTCCTGCGTTGTTCTAAATACAACTGACCATGGACTTTTGATTGTGACGTTACGCACGTGCTTCTCGTGTTTTATTGAAATTAAAACATGGCTTTGATTACAAATCGAAAGAAGAGGATCATATTAGAATAATACCTTTGACATCTGGTATTGCATCATTTGTCAGGTAACAGTTGTAATAGTTTCTGTATACATTTATTTTCCTCGATAAATTTAACATCCCGATTGACGGCTCAAGGGCATCAATTTTTCTGAATCCATGTTTGCGAAGCTATAAATTAAATATGTTTATCACTAAAACGACAAAGGGAAGAAAACGAAAGACAAGATATATTTATATGGCAAGTGACTTGAATGTGTATCGTTATGGTCATGAATGTATAACAGCATGCACGGAAAAAGAGCATTCAATGAAGAACATTGCGGGTTTCCAAAGTTTAAAATACATTCATTGCGTATCTACTTTTATGTTTTCAATTCCGTATATTTGTATTTTCTGTGGGTTATTTTTTTTCTTGTTTCAATAAAGGCCACATTTTCTATTGTATAATTTAATATTATTTTCGGATAAATATGAATTTGCCATATAAGGTAATTTTGGGACGTCACAAAATTTTAAACATGCCTAAAACTTGATATAAAAAGATAATATTTGTAAAAGATAGGAGTCAAACATTGGGTACTCGAAAATGTTTAAACAGCTATGAAAAAAGAACAACATGCTTGAGTATATCATGTTTTAAAATTGGTGGATTGACAAACCTGTGTTGCAACAAGGCCAGTTCCGGCACCTATATCAAGAATTTCTATGTTGTCACGTGCAGATGTGTCAAACAGAGAAGCTACTGTTTCAGCTGTCATTTTTGGTCCTAGATAAACTTGTGGTGAAACGTCCTAGGAAGAGAAAACATGCAGTATGTTATCCGATTTCAAGGTCCTAGATATTGACTTTCATTGTACGTGTACACGATATTTTGGATTGCATCATTTGATCAACAAAAATCAAAATAAGATAATACAGCTTATAAAAATATGTCCAAAGTGCGCCTTATGGCATAATTATACTAAAGCAATTTATATGTACATGTGTAACAACGATTTTGATCCGATGATGCGACGGTTCACGGTCGGATTTATTGGCAAAAACGTTGCAGATCGTTGCACAAACGCAGTCGATGTTACTTGGATATTTCAAATGTTGATTTGTAACATTCTACAAGTATAGCTAGATATATATATATATAGTACCGGGGTTTTATTTTACTATTCACTATACATATCAAAATTTGTAGAGAGTGTGGCATACTCCACTCAAGAGACCTACGTTTCAGTCATAATTCCAACTGGACGTGGGTGCGTATTTATACATCCATCCACACTTTAATTTCATCTTTTCCATGGGTTTAACTGCTGCGTGAATTGAGTACAGAGATGAGTGTATGAATATTTCTATACCCAAGTCATTTCTATGGTTAGTCATCCAATACATATGTTTCATGTGTTTAAAATAGTGATACGTATAATACTTTTTCCTGTTTTATTTTAAGTTCTAACCTAACGAGAAACTATCTCGTATTTTATGTCTACTTTTATTGTATGGTGACACACACATGACACATCATAAATTGTTTTCCTAACAAAAAATGAAAGCAGCACGTTATCAATTTAATGTGTCCGAATATGTAAAATACCTCATCATATCCATTGCCTGACCAATTATCGTAATAGTCTATCACGGCCTCTGGTGACATGTTTCCATTTATGATTTCCTTTTCTCTTTTTACAAATTGTCCTGCAAAATGTAATCACAGTATAAGTTCCCATTAGAACCTGTCAGTTTAAGTCATCAAAAGATTACTAGTAAAAGAAAAAAGCATTTAATCGAACGATCATATTTTGAAAATTTTACAGATGCCAATACGAGTTGGTTGACCGTTATGAAATATCTGTTTCATAGATAACGACGGATATGTTCCTATCGTCGTACACACAATCCTATCCTCCATTTTCCCGAATTTAAACTACCAAATTAGACTTATGACCGGGTTTGTACTTACATTAGAAACACAACGGGTGCCGCATGTTGAGCAGGAACTTCTCACCCTTCCGGAGCACCTGAGATCACCCACGGTTTTTGGGGAGGTTCGAGATGCTCAGTATTTAGTTTTCTTTGTTGTGCTTTGTATATTGTTGTTTTTCCTTTGATCTTAATTTTTTTGCCATGGCGTTGTCAGTTTATTTTCGACTTATGAGTTTGAATGTCCCTTTGGTATCTTTCGCCTCTTTTTCAAACCTGAGAAAATAGGTACAACTAGACAGTTTTACAACAACGATTTTGACAGAATTCTTAAGATTTTTATAATTCATATGTAAGAAAGTAGCCATGCAGTTGAAAAGGGAAGGCGTTGTAAACCTGTATTAATGAAGTATCACTGTTTTGAAAAATTGTTTGGATGTATCTTTTGAATATAAAAAAAAATGTTTTATACTGGACATAATCATGATAATGTATACATTTTGATATTGTTTTTTAAAGTTAATTCTGAAGATTAATCTTGTGTTTCTGTTTCTGTTTTTTCAGGACACCATGCCTATACTTAGAAAACACCGAGTTAGGTTGTGTTTACACAAGATGAAAGAACTCAATGCCTATTCTGACTTGTTAAACTCCGAAACAAGGCAGATAGAAATTGCCACTTAATTGTGTGTACGCATTCAAGGCTATTCTGTGAGTTGTGATCTTACACTACACACATGCGTGCAATTCAAGAAGGTCCATTACAGCACTGATGGTGAAGAATAATCTTAAGACACTGAAGCAGAAGAAGAAATTGAAAGTGATGATAAGACACCAAAACCAAAAAACCCAATGACAAAACCAACCTCTGGTAATAAGCGTACAGACGAAAACAACAAAAAACTCTTATCTTCAGATGAGACGTCGGGTTTACAAGAAAGAAAAACAAACAAACAAACACACACACGAAAGGCAAACGTTACCTCAAACCCTGAGGAAGGAGATTTGACAGAAGATGATACCACAAAGTTTGATAATCCAAAGAGTCTTTTACAGTGATATCTCCAGTGATGATGCAGGACTCGGTAGCCGAGTGGTCTAATTAATCGAACTACTGTATCATTAGCCTGTCAACACTGAGGTTGTGAGTTCGAATTCTGCACGTGGCAGGTGCGCTCCACTCCAATCTTTATTGACTAGGATTGTCAGTTTTCCTACCAAAAGTCAGTAGTTCTCTGCGGGCACTCCTGCTATCTCCACAAATAATAGCTGTCCGCCACGAATTAGCACAATAGTGTAGAAAGTGGCGTTAAACATCAACCAATCAATCCAGTGATGATGATCTAGAGTTCATTGACAAATCAAATAAATCATTGATGATGAGCCTAAGAATATGTGCATGAAAGAGATAAGAATGTTGATATAGGAGGATTTATCAGGAACAAATCTGAACCCATCACAGTTACTACAATTATACCAAAATAATTGAAAAAAAAACAAAAACAAATACAGAAGCTCAAAAGGAAATTGAGTATTTCAAGTACTTATACAACAAATGTGGGATCAGATGAAATAATTCGCATTTGTCAGTGTGATTGTCGTAAGGTTGAAGATTTGGATAATTTGAAGACTGAATATGTGAGGACGATTACCAAGTACGTGTATTGGAAAAAATGCAAGAAAATGAAGGTGGTTGAAAAGAAAATACCAATGAGAATGAAGAACATTTATCTGCTTTCGTATTTTTATGGACTTTTGACTTTGTTTTAACTTTATGGTTGTGATACTACTTTTAGGGTTTTTTTTTCAGTCGAAAGACACAACTGAAATGAATCAAATACATCTGCTATGTTATTATATTTAATGATATGGGTCCGTCGGATAAGGACGTTATAAATTCGAGGTCTCAAATATCAAGCCCTGTGCATGAAAAAGTAAAATAACAAAACTACCGAAATCCAAGGAAAATTCAAAACGGACAGTCCCTTATCAAAAAATATCCCTTCTTCAGAAGTCGTAAAGAGTAGGGTTTTACCGATGCAGAGGCTAAATTATTTCAAACTTATTTTGTGAAATATATTCCCAAGTGTTAATCGATATTAGGTCGAAACATTTGTGAAGTGCCTTTCAATAAACCGGCTGTTTGAATGCATAGTAAAGTATTTACATCATACAGCCTATGACGCATGATATTTGAGGCGTGGGTAGTGTATCGAAAATACGTTTTACTGCAATTGTTTTGCTTACAAAACATCAGTTGTCTTTTATATTGTTCGTGTATCTATATGTAAATAAGTTTCTCCAAGCTTGGACATCATCTGGTACTTAAAAACACCCCTATATTTGGTATATACTTGATTTTACCATACTCCCTATTAAAGTATGAAGGACTGACCAGACTGCAGTATGTAAACCAGCTCAAGACTGTCAGGTTTGTATAGGCCATTGAAGAGATAACTTAAAGGGAATATTCCAATTGGTAAGTTGAGTGACTTGAGTATTTCCAAATAATATGAACAATGGGTTCGGCTTTGCTATTGGATATTTATTACAGTAATTGTGATTTACAGTGACACTTGGATTACAATTTATTGTACAGTAAAACTTCAAGGTGTATACTTGTGTTGCAAGTTGTATTATGAAGGAAAGGTGAATTCTTCCTAGTTGTGTATTAGTGCATGTTTAATTTTGCCATTTTGGGGAATATTCATTTCGTTTGGATTCATAGTGATAGTTATTGTGTGAGTTGAGCTGTGTTTATATATTTTTCTTGTGCATTAAATAATTTGTGCAAGTGTCATTCTGTTATTCTACTATTGTGTTCAATTGTATATTCACATGGTGATACTACAAATAGGTGAACAGTGTAAAGAAATTATATATACAAGAGAGGCGTAAGGTACCAAAGAGGTATTCAAACTCAAGTCGAAAACAAACCGGCAATTCCATGGCAACAAAAACGACGAAGAGACAAACAACAGAACACAAAATACAACATAAAAAACTAAAGATTGAGTAACCTGAAACCAATCCAGAGAGCGGGGGTGATCTCAGGTACTCAAAGAGGGTATGCAGATCCTGTTCCGCATATAGCACCCGTCGGATTGCTCATGTAATTAGAAACCCGGTGATAGGTCTAATTCGGTAGGTTACATTCGAGGAAAGAGGACGGGATTGTGGTTACGACAATTGGAACATATCCATCGTCATCTGTGAAACAAATAATTCATAACGGTCTACCAACTAGTGATGGCGTCCGTAAAATCTTCGGGACAAGTGTTAATGATCATACATAGAGTGTAGTATTTACCTGATGCATGGTGCAAGTTAATCAGCTGATGACATTATGCATATTACAAGCCTTATACGTGTTGCGTAGTGATTGCGTAGTGACATTGCGTTATATTTAGTCTGTAAAGATGCATTGTGAATGAGGTACTTCAACTTTCATTGTGATTTTCTCATGTTGAAACGTTGGTTTACCTTTATGTTATTGTGTTGTGGATATATTGCATTGTGTATTCATTTTTATGTGTGTTGATTGATTTATATAAGACAACTGATTGTGGTACATATTTTAGTATAGCTCCTAAAATACCAATTTATTGGGGTATGGATCCATTGATTTTCTGGTGTATGTATCAATAATAGCTATAAATTAAATATTCTGTATATTTCTCCTTTCATTGGAAACACTAGTGCGGTTGTTTTGGTTACGCATGCGACTGTTGTGCTAAGAAAAAATAACTCATTCAATTATTTTCCAAAAACGTAATTAAATTGTTCATGGTTATCATTAAATTATGGTCTGTTTGGGTTGCCGTGTAAACAGTCTATATCCTTGTTTTTTCTATTATATTAAAGGAGTTTGTCTCTCGTGCTGTATGGAGGCCATAGCAAGTTTCCCCGTGCGTTATATGTATGTTCTTCTGTATGTTTAAAGTAAGGGAGTATATATTCTTGAGACAACTTCTCTTATATGTGTGCCACATCATTCTCTCAACTTTACGCCAGTAAATTTTAATACGACGAATACCACCTACTTTTGGCCCTCATTTATATCCACTTGCAAACATTTAATGGGGCGGGATTCATATACCGTCTGGCGTCAATTACACATCAGACCGTACTGGTTACCGGAATTCGGATACACCCAATCAGGTACTTCATATCTGAGAAACATGCAGTATATGTCCTCAATTTTAGAATTCATTCATAGGTTTTTGTATTATTTAAAATTATCAGTCAATATGTGTTCTACAAGGATCACCAGTTCTTCGCCTTTCATTTGATACCTTACTAACTTAAATATATTCTACATAGTTTTATATATACACTTATGCGTAGGAACTATTTTTTTTTAAATATTTTCTACTTTCCAGTATGTTCTTTTTTGACTGGGCCCGATTTGGTGGTGATAGATCTTACAAAGTCTATCCGAATCATTTTGCAAAGAATTCCACCCAAACCGCTAGGGGCAGTCTTAAACTTGCATTGAGGGGAGATATTTTTTCTTTGCTTTTTGTGTGTTTTTGCTGTTCATGTACTGATATTGTGTCATGAATAGATACCCCATATCCTTTGTTTTTCTATCAGATGTTTTTTTTGGGGGGGAATATTTGTCATTTTGGTTGCTGTTCCATTGACGTATAACCACATCTTATTTTATTCATATTCATATCTTATTTTGTTGTAGGAAATTGATAATACCTAATCTATTATGTTTAAAAGTGAAAAAAAAACGTGCTTGCTTTACAGTGGACCCAACCTATT